CTGAGGTATAAAACCCACAAAATTAAGGAGATCTTTCATTCTCCTTCAGCCTAAGCAGGTGTATCTCAGGGTTGTTGTGAAAACAACGAGAAAGACTCAGCTGGAAGAGCTCATTGGACAAAACAGACAGGGGTAAACAAACAAACAAACAAACAAACAAGAGAGATGCACATTAAGTTTGCATTGAGCGTTTACAGTATTTATTTGCAATTTTCAAAAATCTAATATATTATCCAAGGACTCACGGTGGCTGACTTGCCTTCCGCTCACTTGTTTTAGCCTCATAGCAACTCTGTAAAGTAAATTAAACAAAGAGAGTATGATCGATTCAAAGTCACCTATATATATATATATATATATATATATATATATATATATATATATATGGCCAAAAGGAGATTTTAGCCCAAAGTCTGTTCACCTTATATAGTTATAGCACTTTATTAACCATCATTCCATGCCGTGCAATCCTAAAATTTGTAATTTGGGAAGGTAATCGAGCTCTCTGGCAGAGGATTTGAAATATAGTACCTCTCCCTAAACGGCCAGTCCTAGGATTAATTACATAGGATGTTGCCATAACAGTTAAAGTATTTTGTGTGTGTGTGGGTGTGTGTCTGGAGCGACTTGAGAAACTGCAAGTCGTTTCTGGTGTAAGAGAATTGGCCATCTGAAACGACGTTCCGCAGGAGACACCTGGATGTTTCACCATCCTATGGGAGGCTTCTCTCATGTCCTCACATGAGAAGCTGGAGCTGACAGATGGGAGCTCACCCCATTCCCTGGATTTGAACCGCCAACCTTTCAGTAAACAGTCCTGTCAGCACAAGGGTTTAACCTCAACCTTCCTAATGCCGCAATCCCTTAATACAGTTCTCCATGTTGTGGTGACTCCCAACTATAAAATTATTTGGGTTGCTACTTCATAAATGTAATGTTGCTACTGTTATAAATTGTAATGTAAATATCTGATGTGCAGGGTGTATTCACTGGACGAAATTTGGCACAAATACTCAATATGTCCAAATTTGAATACTGGTGGGGTTGGGGGGGGGGCATTGATTTTGTCATTTGGGGATTGTAGTTGCTGGGATTTATAGTTAACCTACAGCAGTTGTTCTCAACCTGCGGGTCCCCAGATGTTTTGAACTTCAACTCCCAGAAATCCGAACAGCTGGTAAACTGGCTGGGATTTCTGGGAGTTGTAGGCCAAAACACCTGGGGACCCACAGGTTGAGAACCACTGACCTACAGCCAAAGAGCATTCTGAACTCCACCAATGATGGAATTGAGCCAAACTTGGCACACAGAACTCCCAAGACCAACAGAAAATACTAGAAGGGTCTGGTGGGCATTGACCTTGAGTTTTGGAGTTGTAGTTCACCTACATCCAGAGAGCACTGTGGACTCAAATAATGATAGATCTGGACCAAACTTGGCACAAATACTCAATATGCTCAACTGTGAACACTGGTGGAGTTTGGGAATGATAGTTGCTGGGATTTATAGTTCACCTATAATCAAAGAGCATTGTGAACTCCATAAACTATAGAATTGGTCCAAACTTCCCACACAGAACCCCCATGACCAACAGAAAATACTGTTTTTTCTGAATGTTCTGTACTGTGATTCAGTGTATAATGTCCAGTTTCTATTAATGGATTGAATTCATGTGGTTGTTTGGGAGTGGTTACATAAAGCTTGCTCATTTCTAAAAGGAGAGGCATCTGGACTCCAAATTGCCTCCACATCTGGACCTCTGACCATCTGCTCATCACATTGCATGTGGGGCTTCATGTTAGAAATAGGATTGGCTCTCTGTACATCCTCAGAAGAAACTCTTGCCTATCTGTTTGTTTTTCATATTCTAGGAATGAGTCCTGGCATTTGAAATCTGCTTTCAGACCCAGATTCATTACTGGCTGTGTACATATGATGCCAATGAGAATATTTCAAAATTCAGTTCCAAGAAATTCTCTCATCTTGGAAGTTATTATTTTGTCATGAATCATCTATATAATGCATTGAATAAACAAGACAAATCATCTATGCAACACATTTAGTAAACAAACTAGTTCGCAGTTGATTGTCATTGTATATGACACATTTAATGTGCAAAGCACTTCATAGCTGTGATTTGGTTTGATCCAGATGTTGGAAAATTTGCTTTTTTGGATGATAACTTTTCATAAACTCTTAGTCAACATGGGCAAACGATTTATTAGTGGGGGAATTTGAGGAACTTCAGAAAAGTAACTTTTCCAAACATTGGTTTGTCCTTTTAATAACTATTTTGAGGTGACCATCATCATCACCATTTTATAGGTGGGTACATTAAGCCTTGGGTGTTGTTGGGGTTTGGCTTCAGGGCCTCTCATAGATACCAAAATCTGTGGAAGCTCAAGTTCCACTATACACAATGACATAGTGAAATGGTATCCCTATATAAAGTGGAAAAAAACAAAGTTTGGTTTGGGAATTTTTGGGAAGAGGGAAAATAACCACTGTCCCACTTCTTTAGAGAAAAAGCTGCATATGTGTTTTTTATCTGTATTTCTTCTGAAATGCCGTGACCTTGCTACTCAAAACACTGAAAGTGTCATTTCCTTCCTAGAAGGTCACTGTTTTCTTGTAATTGCAACTGGACTGTGAAGAAAGCTGACAGAAATAACATCAACTTCTTGGAAATGTGGTGCTGGAGGAGATTGCCGTGAATCCCATGGACAGTCAGATAGATGGGGTTGAGAGCACATTAAGCCTAAACTCTCATTGGAAGCCTAAATGACTAAACTAAGCTCTTGAATTTTGGGCGTATCAATGAGATGACTCATTGTATAAGAAAATAATGCTCTGTAAAGCTGAAGCTAGTAGGAAAAGACAAAGGGTGCATCTACACTGTGGAATGAATGCAGTTTAACATCACGTGAACTGCCATAACTAGATGCTATGGAATCCTAGGGTGTGTAATTTGGTGAGGCTAAAGACCTTGTAAAAATACAGCTTCTATGATTCCTCAGCACTGACCCATGGCAGTTGAGAGGGTGTCAAATTGCATTCATTCTACAGTGTAGATCAGGCATGGGCAAACCAAGGCCCGTGGACCGGACCAGGCCCTTTGGGGTCTCAGGTCTCACCCCCATCTGTTTCTCTCTCTCTCTCTCTCACACACACACACACACACACACACACACACACATCCCAGCATGTGGAAGCAGGATCCCGCATCCCCAGGCTGAGAGGAGAGCCGGGGCAGAAACATGTGGTTGGTGAGAGCTCTCTGGAGCTCTCGCTAACCATTTGTCTTTTCCTCCTCTCTTCCTGGAAACACAATGGGCCACCATCTCCCCAGGCAGAGAAGCGTACGGAGGGGAAGACAGTCCACTGTTGAAGAGATCTCTGACAACAGCTTGTCCCCTCCCCCTCCTCTTCTCCATCTAGGAAAGTGGCGGGCCACTGTCTTCTCGGGAGGAGAAGAGTGCCGAAGGAAAGACAGGCCACTGCCAAAGAGATCTCTGGCAACGGCCTGTCTCCTTCTCCTTCTTTCAGCCTGGGAATGCAGTGGGCCACTGGAAAGAGAGCTGGGGAAAGGCTACAAATGCTCCAAAGGCTCCTCGGTCGTCGTCTTCCTCACCCTTCTCCTGGCCTCAGGACAAGGTGAAGCCCCATCTTGATGCCAAGAGAAGCAGGCCCCGGTGAGGAGGCAGGTGGCAGCCAAGGGAGCTTTAGGGGCACCTCGGCTATTGCCGGCTGAGGGGGCTTTGGAGCGCTCTCCACCACCGCCTGCCTTGCCCTCCTCCCAGCACAAAGACGAGGTGAGAGTGGCCTTGTCCTTATGCTGGGAGGACATCTGCTGTGTGTCTCACCCTCCTTCCAGCATAAGGATGGGACAAGCAGCCCCATCCTTATTCTGGGAGGACAATCTGAGGATGACCCACCTTCACTTCTCCTAGCCCCACCCCAGCCCCAATTCCTCCTGGTACAGCCCTCTTGGCTGGATGCACAATGTGGCCCAGGGCAAAAAAGGTTGCCTATGCCTGGTGTAGATGCTTCCAAAGTCCACATTAAAGATGGATTCATATTTGCATGTCAGCTCTCCATATTCACTGAAGTTAGAGCTCAGGACACCCACAAAACTAAAATATCTGCGAATTTTAAAAAAATAATCCAAGGGAACATCTCTTTAAGAATGTCTAGGTCAGTGGTCCAGGACCTGTGTGCCGTGGACTACCAGTGGACCACAAGGACGAAAATCTGGTCTGCTGGCCTTCTTCCTCTTTATTTTATTTTATTTTATTTTATTTCCACTCCTTTCGTGCCACCTGCCACTCCTTCCCTGTCACTGACCATGGCACACATTCTGTATCAGAAACTAGAGTTGCTGTGGTCTATCCAAGCAATTTTCTGAATCAGCACCCCAAACCTAATCCAAAGTTGACCAAAAAGTGGTTTGTAACCCTTTTGGTACTAATGTTTGAGAATGGTCGCTGGTCAAAGTGGTCCCTGGTCAAGTAATCCCTGGTCAAAGTGGTCCCTGGCAAAGTGGCCCCAGGTCAAAAAAGCTTGGGAACCACTGGTCTAGATTATCCAACAGCACCTCTATGGCCACTTTAAGTCTCCTTCAGGAGATATAAAGCGGGTAATAATAATAATAATAATAATAATTATTATTATTATTATTATTATTATTATTATTATTATTATTATGTCAACTGCTGCCAGAATTGCTCTGGAAGACATAGAAAATTCAAGAAATGTAGTTTCTTTAGGAATTTCTATGTCCTCCAGTGAAAGTTGACCATTCAGTCAAATTGGAATTCCAAGAGATTTCTGGAGAGAATATTTTAATTAAATCTGTGAATAATCAAATCTACAAAAAACAAATCCACTAATATAGAGGACTCACTGAGTGCATACCTATATCTTATTGAACAAACGACATTATTTTGAAACAACCTCATATACTAGAAAAAATATTTCCTGTTTTAACTCTCTTACTACAGGTTGGAGTCAAGAGCATGTATCCATGCTGGGATTAGGACCTCGGTCCTGGGAGCGAAAGGTGCGAGAAACCTCACCAGATAACAAACGAACAAAGATCAGCCAGGATCTCGGTGGAAGAAGCTTAACTATCGACACTTTGACAGACAACAAAACACAGATTGTGGTGAGTCTCACGTAAGGAATGGCTGACCCAACCAAGAGCCTTGGGCAGAAAGTCTAATTCCAGTAAACATTGTTTTCTTCATAAAAGGAAATAAAAGTTTGGACATGTTCCTTTTTGGATTACAACCACCTGACATCCAAGCCAGTTCTTGTTTGAAAAAATAACTTTTCCAGACTCTGATGTTTAGGAGAGCGGATTCTGAGGGTTGTGGTTTGAAAGGGTGATTGGATTAGAATGTGTTTTACAGGTTGTAGTCTGGGAAGAGGAGGCTTTTCCAATACCCAGAGTGCATTAGATAGAGAGGTACAACCTCATCCAATCTGGTGGTTTTTTTAGCTGCGTGGACTACAGCTCTCAGCATTCCTGACCATTGTTCATGATATCTGGAGCTGATGGGAGCTGAAGCTCTAAACAACAAAGGAATCAGACCTTGAAAGGTTGCACCCCCTTCTACACTGCTGTATAAAATCCAGATTATCTGCTTTGAATTGGATTATTTGGGAGTGTAGACTCATATAATCCAGTTCAAATCAGGTAATCTGGATTATCCGCTTTGAGAATCTGGTTTATCCGCTTTGATAATCTGAATTATATGTCGGTGTAGATCCAGCCTGAGAATGGATAACCTTCTCCAACCCAATGCTCTCCAGATATTTTGGGCTGACTTTCCTCCCCAATTAGTCCTTTTCTAATTGGCAGGTTTGACCCACATCCCTTCCTAGTTAGCCATTCTCTCCTCTTCACTCTTTCCCTTTACTTTCTTAAAATTGCTCAGCAGCAGTAAAAGAAAGGATTAAGATCAACAACATCATAGCAGGAAGATAGAAGCCCTCCTTTTCTCAGTCTACCATAACTATCCTTCCTAACCTGCTGCCCTGTTCAACAAACCATAAATGAATGTTTGCTGAAAAAGCTGAGGCTGCTAAGATAAATGCATGTACATAAGAGATACAGGCTACACTGATCCCCCAAGTATGTTCTCGTGGCCAAATACTCTGTAAAATAAATTATAATATATACTACCATTTTAAAAAGCAGGCCCACAAGGTAGAATTGAGTCCAGAGTTTGCACCGTTAATTGTCTGCATCATTGCTTCACTAATTAATTGCCTTGGAGTTTTCCCTAATTCCCTTGGATGTATACATACCATAGAACCGCATATTGACTTTCAAAGTAAACTATGCCAGATTCTCGTCCTTCTGCCAAGTTATGTCCACACACAATACAGTTGTATCCAGAGATGGATTCCGGCCACATTTTGTTTCATACTATTTTGTTTTGGCTCGTGCTCTCTTCGTCATAAGGGACAAAGTAGTTTGGGTTTTCAAGCTTTCGATGGGTGAATAACTCGGGACTATGTCTGCTCTTGTTTTTATTGTATTTTAAAGTTAATTGTATTGTTTTAATCTACTGCTGTAAACCGCTCCGAGCCAAATTGGGAGTAGCGGTATGCAAGTCAAATAAATAAATAAATATGGTTTTAAACAAAAGCAAAAGAGCAGTGAATGATGCTAGATTTTTTTTTTCATGTCAGGAGTGACTTGAGAAACTGCAAGTTGCTTCTGGCGTGAGAGAACTGGCCGTCTGCAAGGATGTTGTCCAGGGGACGCCCGGATGTTTTACCATCCTGTGGGAGGCTTCTTTCATGTCCCTTCATGAGAAGCTGGAGCTGACAGACGGGAGCTCATACTACTCTCCCGGGATTCTGACAGCGGACCGCTGGTCAGCAGTCCTGCCGGCACAAAGTTTAACCCATTGCATCACCGGGGGCTCTGTGATGTTAGATGAGAAGGCCAGAGGGCATTATGATTGCCATGGATAGCAAGAGAAGTAGAGTTGCACATATGATAACTTTTCACATTGCAGTTGTGCATTATTTCCTATGCATTGAATTTGCACAATTGCATTTTGGTTGTGCATTGCACAACAGAGAGTGAATCATGCGGCGCAATGTTGCTGTTTGGCATAGTAGTTACGTACATACTGTTTGCATAGAGTGTTCCCGCACGTGGATATTTCCACAACACTGCGGGGACGTTGGATTGCTTAAGGCTCTTAGGGAGCTTTCTATTGTTGTTTTCCCCTATCTCTCTCATGTTTTTGAGGGATGAAGCTAGTTTAGTTTGGTCATGGCTTAGCTCCCTAGAGACCTTTCTTGTCTTAATGGATATCTGATCTTTATTTTGTTTCTTGTGCGGTTGGTGTCTTCGGTCCTTAATGAAGCTCTCCAGCCACTGCAAACACTCTCCATCAAATTTCTGTTATTTGTGACTCTTTTTAAAGGAAGTAATCTTCTGCTTTCCCATTTCTCAAAAGTAACTACAATTACCCTTTAGTTACCTAAAAACACACCTGAGACCTACAAGCTGCTGATCCGTAATCCAAAAATACACTTTCCTCACACGTATTTCAACACCCACAGCATCACGAGGCAGTTCTTCAACCACCTGATATTTCTCCACTGGCAGGAACTACCAAAATAGCTAAAATTATAGAAATTAAAAAAAACAGTAGCCCTCAATACATTCCAAAAATTGCAAAATTTCATTTTACCTTTGCAATTGGGTTGGGTTGATTATAAGTAACCTGCTTGTGCTAATTACATACATTCAAATTGGCATCCAGATTGGATGGGGGGAGATTTATGTGCATAATAACTCCCTGTTCTCCCTTTCCACACTTGAGTAAGTGTGAAGCTTTAATCAAAATTCTGAATCTATCAGAAAAGAAATAAACACATACAACTTTTGATCAAAAGTGTCAGATTCCCCTCAGGCCACTTCGTCCGAGAGCGAGTGAGAGAAATTTATGAGTTTGACATAAGCCTTATATAACTTTAATAAACAAGATAGAAGAACATTCCATAGTCACCCACTGAGCATGTACAAAACTCACTTAACAAGAGTTGGCACACATTTATTAATGGATTTTTATGATTTTATTTCACAACTTGGCCAAAGCTGATTTGGGCAGGCTTTGCGCTTACATACTTGACTTAATCAACTAACAGTTTAAAAGACCAGCATAAAATAGTGACAGGCAACAACAAAAAATTGAAGGCACCTTGTTTTTCACCAACAGTAGTTTGAGGGCCATATACAGTAGAGTCTTGCTTATCCGACTTTCGCTTATCCAACATTTTATCTTATCCGACGCTCTTATCTGACGCCCCCCTTTTCCTACAGTATTTTCCCTTCAATTAAAGGAGCACTCCTCAACTCTCTCTCCATCTATCTATATAAATAAAAATGTAAGGTTCGTTTGTGGGATTAACATATCTCAAAAACCACTGGACAAACTGACACAAAATTTGGACACAAGACACCTATCAGGCCAGCGAGTGACCATCACTCATAAAAACACTGAAAATATCTCAGAAGAGACTTAAAACGCCAAAAAAAATTACATTACAATGCATGTGAAAATTACATTACAATGCATTTTTATGTTGAATGTTTTTATGTTGAATGTTTTTATATTGAATGTTTTATACTGTGTATAAGCTATTTTAAATTGTAAGTCACTCGGAGCACTTTGGTGGAGAGCGACTAATTAAGAAATAAAGTGATGATGATGATGCACAAAACCACATATGTACACAAACACACATATATACATATATACAGAATTATATACAAAAATATATACACACATATATGCACACACAAAACACATAGACAGAAAAGGGGAAGGAAGGAAGGAAGGAAGGAAGGAAGGAAGGAAGGAAGGAAGGAAGGAAGGAAGGAAGGAGGAGAGAAGGAGAGAAGGAGAGAAGGAGGGAGAGAAAGAAGAAAAGAAGGAGGGAAGGAGAGAAGGGAAAAAAGAAAGGTAGAGAAGGAAGGAAGGAAAGAAGGAAATAAAAAAAGTGAAAGAGGGAAGGAAGGAGAGAAGGAATGAAAGAGAGAAAGAGGGAGGGAAGGAAGGAAAGAGACAAGAAAGGATGGAACCAAAGAGCAAAGGAAGTAAGAAAAGAAACAGGTAGAGAAGGAAGAAAGAAGAAGGGAAAGAAAAAGAGGGAAGGAAGGAAAGAGGGAGGGAGGGAAGGAAGGAGAGAAAGAAAGAAGGAGAGAAAGAGTGAGGGAAGGTTGGCCACAGCAACGCGTGGCGGGTGCAGCTAAATAAAAATGTAATGTTCGTTTGTGGGATTAACATAAATCAAAAACCACTGGACGAATTGACATGAAATTTGGACACAATACACCTATCAGGCCAACAAGTGACCATCACTCATAAAACACTGAAGAACACAGAGGAAGGAATTCAAAAAGCCAAAAAAAAAAAAAAAGCAAAAAGACGCTACAGCACATGCGCAAAGCAACTCCCCCTGGCAGAAAAACACACACACAATAGCATATCCACACTCTCTTCTGGACTACAGCTCCCAGCATCCCCTTGACCAGGCCCTTTAGGAGAGGAAGATGATCCAAGCTGCAAGCTTCCTTCTCCTTGGATTTCTTTGAGAGCATCCCAATCCCTGCATATTTCCAATTTCCTGTTCCTGGACTGCAACTCCCAGCAATCCTCCGGATAAAATAGATAGATAGACAGACAGACAGACAGACAGACAGACAGACAGACAGATAGAGGGAGGGAGGGAGGGAGGGAGGTAGATTGATAAGGACTGCTGCCAGCCCCTTTATGTCCGATAAGCAAGACTCTACTGTATGGAGGTACTTAATATGGCATTGAGTGTGGGAATGAAAGGCCTGAGGAGGTACTGGATTGAAAGTGGGATTTTCGTGAATGGTGTAGATCAATGGCACATTGTTTATGTGCTTTAGAATTAGAGTGTGAGCTGTGTCTAGATGAAAGAGGATTGCATTTTAATGAACTTGAAATCAATACAGAGGAAAATGTGTTGCACACTTTGACAGATTACTACCAGAAGCCATAGCTGCCAAACGTATGCTCTCCAGCTGTGGGCAGGTAAGGCAGCATTTAGAGGCCAGTTTGTGACTTACTTGCTTTCCTTCGTGGCATTTTCAGTTGTTTAGTGAGC